AATTCTTGCAAATTTTCAAAAAAAAAATTTTTTCCTTGGGGGGTTCGGGGAGGGGGTTCGTTCGACCCCCCCCCCCAAACCCTCCCTGGCTACGGGCCTAGTATTAGACATTAAATTTGCACAGGGTAGGCCCACACAAACGTGACAACGGCAACGCACTTCACGAGGCGTATACTAATTACTATTATTAGTATTACTATTACTATTAGTAATACTATTAATAAATTATATATCAATTATAGTACTACTAGTAGTCAGTTGGCTTCTATAAACTAAACTACACTTTTATTATTATATTATCTAGTTAATACATACCATGTCTATTCTGGAACTTATGTAATAAGATAAATAGTAGAAGAGAAATGTGAGAAATTCAGAACAACGTGCGAAACACCAAAGCCTCGAAATCCGATGTCAATATGTAGACACCGGGAGATGTTTCACGCTCAGTTTTACAATAATGTATGGTTGGACAAATAACAATTATTTAATTGAATTTAATAACGACTAAAAACATTATTTTTAATGTAAGGCGTCGAGAGTTTAGTTAGTTCAAGATTATTTAACGAATACATATGTAAATATTAATGCGCCTGTCACCTGCCACGATCGCGGCAGTGAATCAGTTTACAATCGTGTGTTGGTTACTGCCACTGGGTTTCTAATACTCTCTCTAGTACTAGTAGTACGGAAATACTATATCTAAGTTAAAGATAATAGGCTTCGCCCCATGTGATAGAATTCGGGTTCGCAATGGAGGAAGTTATGACTTTGATTTTACTGTCGTTAGCTATGTTGGTAGGTTGCTACGTAGCTGGATCGATACCATTGGTTTTCACACTTTCCGAGGTAGGCTGACAGATCATAATGACGTACTACTACTAGGGCTCAAGGGGTCGTTGTCGTAACAGGTACTACAGATATGTACCCGAGGTACATATATGTATACACAAAGTGTACCAGACTTGTACTACAGAAGTGTACCCTAACCCTAACACTAACCCTAATCCTAACTCTAACCCTAACCCTAAGTCTAACCCTAAACATACCTCATATAAAAATATAAACATAATACTAAACAACCTAAAACTACCTCGGGTACATATCTGTAGTACCTGTTACGACAACGACCCTTCGTGCACTACTAGGCCTACTTCACTTTGTGTATATTATACATGCTTTCTTCACATATGGCCGAACGTATATGAAATTCAATGAAACTGTACATAAACAACTAGTAGGGGCTTATTAGTAGTATACTAAATACGCGTGTTCTCATACGTTGTGATTTAGCGCAAAGTCGGAGAGAGTGTACTGTTAGATACAATTAATAATGTAACCCAACGGCAACAAGAGTAGGGTTATAACGCGAGCCTATTCTTTTCTTTGGAGGAGCCCCTGAGTGATTCACTCAGGGCGGTTTTATGGTGCGTTTTTCGAGACTACTACTTCCAAACTGGGTTTATTCTAAACACGAACTTTTCTCCGCTATCCTGGGACCTACTATGTATCACAATACTCTGTATTAAACTATCATAACCTGTTACCTGTTACAAAATTTCGAAGTGACGAGTGGCGTTATTTCGAGCACCATTTCTGTTGACCTGTGACGTACAGATTCCCAATGCGCACAGCATTCGGCTAACTTCGACTCCAAGATCGAGTGTATCATGGGATGCTTGCTATCAGTCATGACGTCATGAATGCACAGTAAAGTCTGTATGTAACTAGATAGTGTTTGTTCTACAGGAGAAGCTTCACTTTGTGACAGTGTTAGGAGCAGGATTGCTAGTGGGGACAGCACTAGCCGTAATTATTCCAGAAGGAGTCCATGTTTTATACTCTTCTGCACAGTCCAGTGAGTACATGTTTTTCCAATCGTGAAAATCTGGGAAGGTGCTAATGCTAGCTCTGTTTGTCTGTCGTGCAACATGTTACATATTAACATAATCTTGATTGATTAATCTTGTTTTGGAATGCATATCTGCGTTATCATGTGCGTAGATGTCGGTGTTGACAAGCATTTGACCGATCAGGACCACATTGGACCAGACATGCCACACACACACGACCATTCAGACCACAGTGGCCCGGATGTAGCCCACTACATAGGAATCTCTCTAGTCCTAGGCTTCCTCTTCATGCTCATCGTGGACCAGATTGGTGGAAGTCACTCCAGATCTCAAGGTGTGCGTCTTGTGGGTCGACTGAGCAGTTTAACACCGCAAGTGTTTTAAAACCGGGAACTGTGAACCCATTGGCTAGTAGAGCTTCATTTAGAAATTATTTCAAAGTGTTTATACATAACAATTTTAAACATGTTATCGCTATCTTCTGTTGAAAATTGTAATTATTCATGCCCATAAGATTGAGACCATATAAGTACGATGACATAGATAACTTCTTCTATTCACTAAAGACTCGCCAGATGCAGAAAGTGGAGCAACTGCCAAAGACAGAAGTCCTAATATCACTGCCACACTAGGATTGGTCGTGCATGCTGCAGGTAAATGAAACTAACTATAGCTGTTCTAAGGTATCCATGCACTTTGACATGGGACTGTCACATAATTTACGATACTTTCTTGTGAAAATTAATATAGTTCATTTAGTTATTAACCTACAAAAGGTCGGAGAGCACTACGTCACAACGACCAGCAAGGTTTGTTCAACAGTCTCTTTGTTTTGTCTCTCACTGCAAGTAATGGATGTTTGCCTCTATTTCAGCTGATGGTATTGCTCTAGGTGCTGCAGCTTCCACCACTCACACTGACACTGAAATGATAGTATTTATTGCGATCATGTTGCATAAAGTAAGTACAGATGCTGTGCCTTTGAAATTTTGGCAGCGGTAAAAGTAACCAGCAATCACTTAACATACACGGATATATCTACTAAAATGCATTGCACTGTGAACAATAAAAAAGCTCAGATATGGAAACAGAAGAAGGCATTCTTTATAGTCTGATTCTAGACTCATTTTTATGATATTGTCCAAACATTGTAAAATCTACGTGGAAGGAATTTCTCTCAAGGTATTAAACTCATGTCATCATATGTTATCATTTTGACCTGACATACTAGATGCAGTTAAATAGGTACGCGTATCCTATAGCCATCACCTCCACCTTAGAATGCTTCAGTGTTAGCCATGACTGATGCCAGTGATATTTTACCACGAAGCAAGTGCTGTCATTCTCTCTGTTTGGACTTTCAGGCACCAGCAGCATTCGGTCTTGTGTCATTCCTCCTACACGAAGGACTGGAGAGAAATCGGATACGAAAACATTTGCTCATCTTTGCTCTGGCAGCGCCTCTCTTGTCCGTGGTCACATATTTTGGGCTGAGTCAGGTAAGTCAAAAACTGTTGCTACAGTGTAAGCCAGATGCTTACATGTTGGCGCCAGTTGCATAAATCAGGATATTGTACACCGTGGGGGAAAATTCGGATTTTTACTGGGTAACGAAGTAGGGGAACTGCTAAAAAAGATCAAATATGCAAATACACAATCGCGACCAATATTGTTATATTTCCACAAACAAGAAATAAGCTTTTTTAATTAACTTATTATCACATTTTATTATTATTAGTTTTTCATTTCCCCTTTTTCATATATACAGTTAAGACTACAGTTATGTTAATTTACATTTAGAGTGCGGTATATAATCTGTTGCTGACTAGCTCAACGTCTATATGAGCAAAAAACCAAGTTAACTACGGCTGCATTAGGGCAATTATGACTGCGAGAAGCAGCATTGCGATTCCTCGCGTTTACACTGCGTCTTCCCCCTCCCCGCTGCAGGGCAACAAAGAGACGCTGTCGAACACGAATGCGACGGGAATAACGATGCTGTTCAGTGCCGGTACGTTCCTTTACGTCGCCACCGTTCACGTGCTGCCGGGCCTCAAGCACTCACCTGAGGGAGGCGACCGGCATGAGCACGGCTTCAGAAAGTCGGAACTTCTCGCGCTCCTTGTGGGGGGACTGTTTCCTCTCCTCATCTCGTTCACGCACACGCACTGATTGCGTGTTCTCCCTGCTTGTATCCTTCACGCTTGCACCGATTGCGCGTTCCCTCTCCTCATATCCTTGACGCACATGCAATGATTGCATGTTCCCTCTCTTCATATCCTTCACACACATGCAATGATTGCATGTTCCCTCTCTCACATGCAATGATTGCATGTTCCCTCTCTTCATATCCTTCACACACATGCAATGATTGCATGTTCCCTCTCCTCATATCCTTCACACACATGCACTGATCGCGCGTTGCCTTTCTTCATATCCTTCACGCACACGCACCGATTGCATGTTCCCTTTCCTCATATCCTTGACGCACATGCAATGATTGCATGTTCCCTCTCCTCATATCCTACACACACATGCACTGATTGCATGTTCCCTCTCTTCATATCCTTCACGCAAGCACCAATTGCATGTTCCCTCTCCTCGTATCCTTCACACACATGCACTAATTGCATGTTCCCTCTCCTCATATCCTTAACACAGGCATCGATTGTGTGTTTTCTCCTCTTAGGTGACATCATATACAGGTTTGAGTGTATTGAATACTTTTTCCCACAAAACCTCCTATAGCTGAATTTTGTGAGCAAGTGATAGTTTTGTTACGTCACTGCGACTTAAATCCCAATAAGACACACGCAATGTCGATGTCAGACGTGTCTCTGATTGGAAAAGTTGAATCAGTTGATTTACATATTTTGCGAGCTATGGTAAATGCCGATGATCTTTGTGAGTTCAGGAGTTTCCCGGTAATGAAGTGGTCACTGTGCTTGTATGTATATATGGCAGTTGTTATTGGACCATGAGTGATGCTAAGTGTTTTGCGAGGTGTGGTGAAACCGTAGCTAATTGATATAATTCTATTGAGGATTAATCCAGTGCGCGGACGCATCCCAACGACACATAATATGTAGCATTCCAATTTTCTGAGGCATCAACTAGCCAAGTATGCTTATTCTGTACCAAATATTGGAAACAGTAACAACTGTTACTATATATTATAAGTTAGCATTTTATGAGATACCGCTGTACTTCTGTCTGCAGCAAATCACGGACGTTTTTTTTTCAAAGAGTGCTACTTTACTTGCAGACTACTATAAGTCTAGTAGACTTTTTTTTACCAAAGTCTATTTATTACGCTGCATTAGACTTTGCTAACTTGATGTTATTTTCCACTTCAAACTGAAAAAAACTCTAGATGAGATAACAATCTAGTAGCATCAAGAAGAAATTGACGTTTCGAATCGGACAATATAAAATACGTATGACTATGGATATGGTGGTGGTCATTGGTGTAAGAACGTGATTGCTTGTTTTGTATCTGTTATTATAATGTTAACAAATGTTTATGATTATTGATGTCTGGACAATTTAATTGATCCCCCTAATATAAAAAATAAGATGACATTGTTTTGATGACGTTTTGCTAAATTACACAGTCATAGTAGTAACGCTTAAAATGTCATATACGATGTTACAATATCTATAGATACTCCAACTGCAGCATAAAATAGGCATCCTAGAATAAATAAATAGAAATATAGATTGGTTCAGATAACAGACAGTACACATTACATTTCATATGATGTCGTGTCAGATGATACTGCTTTCAGTTCATGCTCTTCCTTTATAAATGGCTCTAAGCAAACAGACAGCGACTTATGGCAGCATACATAATGCCAAGAGTAGATAATAACACACCGTAACACACAATATCTACTCTTGATAATGCTTATGTATGGATGGAAAATGAGAAATTAAGCAACATGCTAATTACTGTGCCACTTGGTAATATTTGTGCTAGTGTGTTGTGATGCCTTGAAAATTGGATGATGCCCACGGCAATGAAACGCCATGGCTTTCATACCTGGTTTGCCTCCATGCCCTTCACACAAGTGCATATTGTACGTGTACCCCTCCCTGTCCCACAACATAATTACCCGATAAAAAGTTAGTTGCCGTGGAGCCCCTCCAACCTACCTTCTGTGGTGTATCTCCATCTAAACATAAGGCAACACTTGTGCACTGTCATCAACAATTGAAATTGCAACCATGTACAGCCATACACAAATACATAAGTGATTCTCACATTCCACATGAATTCATAATTCATTTGGCAGAGCCGAACATATTTGTTACCCCCTAGCAAAATTGAAATTAATATAAATGCTTTTATTTTTATAGTAAGCATTGAATCCACTTTTGTGCTATGATTTTTTTCCGCAAACTTAATCTAGATATATGAGTACGTATATGGTAATTATGATCATAGTCAATTTATATTATATTCTTGTGATACCATCGCATGAGATGTAAGTTTTCATGCATGTGGTTGTGTGCGATGCTTTATTGAAGTATAGACCAGGAAGGCTCACTATACAAGTTAATTGAGCAGGAAATGTGAAAGTGTTCCCTATCAAAACCAAGATCATCCGGAAATCTTGAAAAGTCACATCTCCGATTCGGTTTACAAACAATACACGTGGAACTTTGGAAATTCGAACGTCACTGACTTCAGCAGTTGCTCTACGTATTTTAACAATTCTACATGAGCTTTTCTCAATATACGTGTCAAATGGTTTATAACAATGGCCATCAGTGTTTGTAAGTTGACTTGGATTGGTCTGTACCAGAACAATGGCATGAGCCACACCGGAAGCAGATGAAGTGGAACATAGTATTTTGCTAAGATGATCTATTATAAGATACGTAAATTGTAAATAGTTATGAAGATGTCTTGTTAAATAAAATGTTTGTAAGTATCACGAATGTGCGACGCTGCTAGTTTTGTTAATGCACTATCGTTGTTAATGCACAATCGTTGCAAAATATTCTTCTTCTCCGGAGATATTTCGCATGCGCGAGCACCGTTTCATGCGTGCAATACGGACTGAAGAAAACTGCATAATATAGCTTGTTGAGGGTGAGAGGGGTGGGGGACCGATGACAGGCGGCAGGGAATGTAGCTGAGTGGGCGGAGGAAGAAGAAGCAGAGAGAGCGAAAGACAAGGGAGGCAAAGGGGAGGACGGGAGGGGATGAAGTAGGAGTTTTGCTCGCTACAGGCTAGGGTGCTCTCCAAGCACAGGTCCACGGATACAAATGAATTCCAGTAATCTATTCTGATATACCTCATAACCATACTAAATGCGTATTCATTACGAAATATAACTCTTCTGGTTAGATATTGCCCATGCGCTAACACACTAACGTAGTCAGATTGTGTACTGGCTAATATATGCAACAGGGACCTTACACAGCATAGGTTCTTCTTTCTACTTTTTAAGGTGACGTCTAACATGATTGGATATTTTATCATGTAAATCTTTGCTACGGCTAACACCGTCTTCATTTTAAAATCAGGAATCGTTGCATGAAATATTCTTCTTCTCTGAGATTATTGGCAGCATCGCCGAGCAGCCGTTTCATGCGTGCAATTACGGACTGCAGAAGAAAACTGGCATGAATTAATATCCTTGCTGAGGGTGAGAGGGTGGACAGACCAAATGAACAGGCGCAGGGAAACGGTAGTTGAGTGGCGCGGAAGGAGAGAAGCAAGCAAGAGATAGCGAAAGAGAGCAAGGAGGCAAAGGGGAGGACGAGAGGTGAGGTTAGTAAAGTAGGAATTTTGCTTTCTTTCTCGTAGGGCTAGGGCGCTCTTGCCTATTTGATAAGTCACAGGTCCACAGATATATTACAAATTAAATTTTCAGAAATCTATGTCTGAGATACGCGCCCATAACTAGAGTAATACTGCATATTTCCACTTACACAATATATAACTTCTTTTGGTGAGATATTGCCCATGCGCTAACATCACTACAAGAGCCAATTGTGTACGGGCTAATATATGCATACAGGGAACCATACACGCCAAGGTCTCTTCAGCTTCTTAACTGACGTCTACTGATGGAATTTTATCAGATGTAAATCTGTCTAGGTGTAAGCAATCGTCTCTATGTTGTATTATGCATAAGCGTGCTAAATATTCTTTTTACTCAGGATGATATTCGCATCTTGTGTTATCGACCCGAGCTAACCTAGTGGGCCCCACCGGCTTACCCTCTGCTATATCACGGCACTATCAGAAACCTGCATAATGGATATCCCTCCCGCCTTTTGTCGCAGCCTGGTGAGACGGGGATGGGAGACCCGAGAACCAGGCGGCAGCGTGAGGTAGCTCGTATTCGCGCCGTAATGGAAGAAGAAGCAGAAGATAGGCGAACAAGACAAGGGAGGTAAATAGGGAGGAGCGGAGGGGATAAAGTCACGTGCTTCTCTGTAATTTGCTACTCTCAGCCCATCTGCAGCTACCGTACTCCCGTCGCTATCTTGATAAACTATGCTAGATGCGTCTCACACGATTCACGTAGAATGAATTCCAGCAGAATCTATGCTCAGAATACCCCATAACCATATTTAATGCATCATCAGCATTCACCTACAAAATTATATACTTACTACGTGATCTTTGTGAGGATCTGTATACTGCCCTCGCTAACTATGGGTATCCGACGAATAGGTTCACCCCCACATATAGGCATCCGGGCAGCCTCGCTCCCGACAATGTTTAAGTGAGAAAACTTAATGAAAAATCAATCGAAGTTGGGTCATGTTAGAATGAATAGGTATAATAGGAACGCGCACACAAATGACATATTACGTTACGGTGTGTGCTAGTAGTGGGGAGGGTATGTCGTCGGGGCATAATATAGGTAGTCAATGGGGCTGAAACAGGGGACCTTGAGGTACGAATCTCGAAGGTCTCTTTCTACTTCTAATAAAAAATCTCAATGGTTATTGTCTAACGTGAAGTAATTTTTATCATGTGCGTGCCAACTAACTAGGGGCGGTTAATAATGCTCTGAGAGCTATCCCGCCCTACAATCTCCGCAATAAACAAAGCAGAATGTTATGCCACCTGGCCCCATCGTTGGCATCTCAGTCAAATATTCATTGGCTTTGTAATATCAGGAGCATTGATAATGCGCAATTGACGACTGAACAAGCCACCAATCCTGTGCAGGGCGTATGCCGAGTTCAGTCGTGTCCTATAATAAATCAGTACGTAAGTATAGCTTGCTACGGGAGAAGAGAGACTGGAACTGGACGTAGGGCAAGGAAAAGACAG